AATCATCGGGGTCAAGGATGGGTTTGAATGAGACATCTAATGTAGTCATAGAAGGGGAGAAGATAGGAATTGCTTCTAAATGACGTGGCTCTCCTTCTATGGGTTCACTAGACATGCCATCCTTGAATTCTTCCCAGTGTCCTACATGGGAATAAGGATGCTTTCTAAGAGATCCCTTCTTAAGAGGAATTAAATTATATTCACTCGAAGGTCTCTTATGTAGCAGAAAGTTTAAGATTTTTCCAAAATTAGCATAAAAGAGATAATCCTCACAAGAAATTTCAAAAGAGATTTCCAAAGGTGGAATTTCTTCTTCCTTTGGAGGATTTTGGGGTATTGATGGTTCAGGATTGATCGCTAAATCTTAGGATTGGAGTGGTTGTAATTTGGCTACCAAAACTTCTTCTTGTTCGGGAGATGATTCATTCTCTTACTCGGGGAGTTCATTATGAATGGTAGTGCAGGGAGTCTTTCCACTAATTGTATCAAGCATAGATCTTGTTTTGCTAACACACAAATGAAGGAAAGCTCCTCTAGAGGCTTGATCAAGGGTTTACGTAGAATCCTCGCTAAGACCCATATAAAAATGTTGAAGGAGCATCCGGTCTGAAATAGCAATGTTTGGGTCAGTGGTAATAAGATCATTAATACATTCCCTTGATGTGGCAAGAGATTATTCTTCTAGTTTAAAATTTAGAACCTATTTCCGAAGACTAACTATTTTAGAGATGGGAAAGAAACGTAAACAAAATTTAGAGCATAACGTTTTCCAATCTCTTTGCATACTTGCTACAGTTTGACTGTACCAATGTTTAGCTCTTCTCGTCAAAGAGAACATAAATAACTTCCATCTTAAGGTCTTGTCAGACATGCCAGCGATACACAAGCATGCACAGGTCTGTTCAAAACTCTTGGAGGTGTGAGTATGGATTTTCGTTGCCTTCTCTCGAGAAGGATTAATACCGAATCAGTTTTATTAAACACGGGCACAGCTCATAGCCAGGTGTTAGGATAGGCTCTACAGATTTTGGTGGCTCTAGGCTCGCGCTCGTAGGTGCAGCGTATTGACAGATAGGAGTGGAATACATAGTGAAAAGAAAAAGTAAAACAAAAGAAAGAATAAAAGATAAAATGTCAAGCTAGGCTCGAAGTTAATTTAGCCACCGTTTCCCTAGCAATGATGCCTGGAAATTTGTTGGTATTTATTAACGCACACAGATAAGATCCGCAAGCATACGGATATTGTAGTAGCTTTCACCCGAAAGTATTCCAAGTATCGTATCCACAGGAAAACGTGTGAGACTAACTACGGTCTAACTTAACAAGGGGTAGCAACAAGGTTAGGATAAACAGGAGCGTAGAGAGGATAATTGAGGTTCTCTAATTCTAACTTGGTTAAGATATATGTTTTCTACTGTTCAACTAGGGACATTACTAGGGAAAGACACCAGCAGAGGATGATCTCCTTCGTAACCAGGTCCTACTTGGCCTACATACATGAGGTGGACTATAAAGGATCAACGATGCTATATAGTACTCAACGAGGCTATATAGTACTGATGTCACACACGCGATCTACCATCTATCCGGAATGAAGTGTGCATCCACGATTAACCTAAGTCTAAGCATCACGCTTACACTCACAATTAATACTTTACTCCCTCTAGAGCATAAATAAAGCACTCAAAAGAGTCGTTAACCTAATGAACAATATAAACACAATGGTTACTTGAATCAGAAGTTGATTACCAGAGAAATCTCGAAGGCAAGCTCAAGTAGAACTTGGATCCGCCAATGTACAAGACATAGAAAAGGCACTGACAGGCCGGCATCTCCTCCAAACTCTTCCCTTACTCTCAATCCCACTATTTTTATTTATAAGACTAGATCCTATGGAGGAGTAATTTTCTCTTGATTACTGGCTTGATCCTAAATATATGAATTAGGGTTTCAGGGATCTGCTAAGGAAGGGGGGGTAGGGGCTGATATATATAGGCCGGAGCGTCAATCCTGAGCCCCCGGATCAAATTGACTTAAATAAACGGCGAAGATTGGATCTTAATGTTGGTGGGGAACCGACTTTTGAAGCGGAGGCTGACTGGTGGGATCCACAGGCCGGCCGGCCTGTAAGTGGGGCCGGCCAACCCCACATGGAAGACCCTCGGGGTCTGTTTCGGTAGAGAGCCTCCTGGAGTCTTTTAGAATCTTCCCACGCTGTTCACGCGGCGAAATTCTGTAATTTTCTTTGATGAATAGGTCCCCCTTGACGGTTTTCTGGATAAACCCTGCTGAAAACACAGATTCACCAAAACTCGTGGAATTTATTAGTTTAAACCCCTATAACTATGTTTGATGATGAAATTAAGTATAAATGTAGGTTATGTTGACAGTTTGTAATTGGTGCTAGTGACCGTCAATAGGGCTACTGGCTGACGAGCAAGCGCAGCATCAGCAGCTCTCCGTCGGGGCCTCCAGCGACGCCCACGAAGGGCAGCCCGCTTAGCCCATCGACGATGACCCATCAACACTGGTACACGGGACGGACCCCCTTCGTACTTCTGTTGCAGCCTCGCCTTCAGTCCAACCCACCTCTGTCGAGGACTTCATCGCCGGTCTAAAGCTGCCGCTTGAGAAGCTGCTGATCCAGTCGCCGCCCCGCCTTCGTGTCTCGCGCGTGCGGGTTGAGAACCTGGTTCCACGCCGCAGTGATAGACTTGCTGCTAAGTCCGTCTACCGTGACCCGAACCCGGAGAAGGAGGCCATGCGGGTCATGCTCAGCAAATGGCAGCCATCGGCGAGCGCCCCGCGGGCAGCGCCAGCGACGCCTAACACGACCATCGCCACTCGGTTCCACGAGACATTCCAAGAGCCGTTGTCATCGTCCAAGCGCGCGGCAATGCGGGAGCTCTTCCCCATGGCTAGTGTTCGCGGGAGGCGGGCGGCGACGCAGGTGTCTTGAGCAAGGGTTCGCTCAACGTCGCATGCTCTTCGGCTGCACATTGAGTTTCTTAGTTAGTTACAACAGCGTGGGTTCCACCACCTAGCGGTGCCTTGTGTTCGTGTTCAACCCCATCGCTCATGGCACCTCGCTATGATATGATGTTGAACATGTAAAACTTCTAACTTTTTCTTAATGAAACACGTGCTATGCACGTTCTCAGAAAAAAATTAGAAAACTGGCTAAGCATGTTTTCCCAAATTTCCCAAGCGTTGCTGATTTTTGTCGTCAATAATTTCTCTTGGGATTATCTTCATCGGTAGAGAAGTAGCCATGAGGCTTAGCTGTAGTCCTCTCGCTACTCGCTTGGCTGTATCGGGCGTGAGTTAGAGCTCGACATAGACTTGCATTTCACATAGCTATACAATGACATACGACATCATTTGGAGGTAACATCGATGTTGGCGTAGATGAAATCATGGTGGATGGTAAGGTGGTGGCCTTCCCGTCATCGATGCAACCGTGAGTATGTTGGCGCTTTCAATCAAACTGCATGCGTAATGGTGTGTCACCCCCTTTGGGCTTGGTTAGCCAAACGGACAACCTGGCCTGGGCTTGGTAAAGCACGACCCAATTGAGTTGGATCTGGCACGACACAAGAGGGGAGGTGGGTCATGTCGTGCTAGCCCACTGGCTCAGCTAGAGGTCTAGGCACAACAGGGCCAGCTGCTGTGACATTCCATGTTGGCCCGAGGCACGAAGTGCCCCGGAAGCCCATCGCTTCACCAGTTCACCGTCATGCCGCGCTCGTAGGAGCCAGTGGCACTATGAAAAAGTTGACCCAAGGCTTCGATTCGCTTCAACAGTGTTTTCCTCTAAAAAAAACCAACGCCAGCCAGCCCAAACTAGCACCAGCACCAATCATCGAACAGGTCCTTGATCTTCTAATCAATTACCTATATAGAATTTATCTCCAATGTATGTGATGAACGAACATGATTTTATATGGTAAAATATTCCATTATTTGTAGTTATCCTGCAGAAGATAGTTATACTGAATACAGTTGACACGAAAATTCGCAGGGTTCCTACACTGACAAATATATCTTGTGCCAGCATGTTTTGGTTCTTGTTCATTGAACTGATGAACTGTGGAATTGCATTTTGATCAAGATTCAAGAGTGACAAGGTGCCTTCATTCCCGGCCCATATCATGGACATTCGATGGACGGTCTACAACTCCACAGCTGATGCTGAATCATATCATGGAGGAAGTGCAGCTTTGGGATCAGGCGGGATTCCGTAACTTGAGGTCCATGTTGCAACTAGCGCAGTTAGATTAGTCTGCTTTTGTATTTCTTTGTTTCATCATCGGTTTGTTCCTGTTTCATGCCCGGGGCATTCTGGTCCTCGGAGTCACTTTCTGCTGTCGGTAATCTGCGGATTACATGTTCGGTCGTGTACCTTAAAAACCCTACTTCCCCTTAATGAAATACGTATCTACAGGACACGGTCACGAAAAATTCCTGGCCTTCTCTATAAAGCTAGATCAGGTTTGTACTATTAGAGTATCTGAACTATGAGAGTCTGAAACGACATTTCCAGACTTTCAGTTCTATAAAAACTATTTTTACTGTACCAATTAATATTGTCGTGAGGCACATAATCCTAACTAGATCCGGGAACATACAGGGTAGTATGTTTCTTCTTATTGGTTGAACTGGTGAATTGCCCATTTACATTGATCAAGATTCAAGAGCCAAAAGGTGCTCTGATTTCCAAATATGCTTTCAAATTACTATTTCTTCTCTAAAAAACTATTCCTCTTTTTCAATAAAATACATCTAGTATTATTGTATTAGACGTTAGGCACATAGTCCTAACTGACTCGGGAACATATTGGCTTTCTCGCTAGAAAGAAAAGATCCAAACGCTCATAGTACTGGATCATGCAGCAGCCACGCAGATTATTATAAACACATACGCATGGGCTGTGTGGAAGAAAAACGCATCGAATCCTGACGAAGACGACGTACGGGTACGGCAGGTACCAGCAATGGATTCAGAGGCTCCTGGCGATCATCTCCTGACACCGGTCGTACGACTCCTGCTTCTCCAGCAAGAAGTTAGCACGGCACCTCGCGATGAACTGCTCCGCTAACCGGTCGATATCGTTCCCGCCGCCGGCGCCGGCGCCTTCCTCCCCTTCGTCGTCTTTCTCCACGACCACCACCTCGTCCGGCATCTCCTCCTCGAGCCAGCGCAGGTACCCACAGTACTCGCCCGCCGCCGCCGTGCCGCCCTCGATGCCGCCGGGAGCCGCTGGCGGGACGACAACCACGCTCCACGCCGAGTCGTAGCACGGGTACACGTGGTAGTTCACGTCCAGCGTCGCCTCGGCCGCGGTCCGAGCCGGCGACAAGCCGCCGGACCAGGTGAGATGCGGTGGCCTCTTCGCGAAGGTAGCGGCCTGCTGCCTGCTGGTCCTCTTCGTCTTCGAGCGGCCGCAGCCGATGGCGGTGTGCTGCTTCCTCCGCCGCCGCCGCGCTCCCCACTTGGTCCTGCCGAGGGCGTCGAGGAGCGCGGACTTGACCCTGGCGAGGGCGCGCAGCACACGGCCGAACCGCGGGTACACGTGGGACTGCAGGATCGTGCTGATCTTTGGCGAGATGGAGCTCGGGAGCAGCGCCTCCATGTGGAGTGGAGCTGGTCGGCCGGTCGGATCAATGGTGGCACTGTCACGCACAGCGGTGGAGAGATGGAGATGGGAATGTACGGTACGGAGGTGGTCAGGTGGAGGCGTGCCGATCCACGGCCAAGGCATAGGGACCGGCCTTGTGTACGGAAATGTGCGTCCCACTAACCATTTATTCCTGTCACGTAAAATGTCCACGTCAGCATCTAGGGAAACATCCCAATAGCACATTTAACTATCTCGCTATACAAAATGTCTATATAAGAATCTACTAACACATTCAACTAACACATATCATTATATCTTTATTCAAGCTATTAACGTTAGCAAACCACATTATTTACTAACATATATTTAGTTGTCCACGTCAGAATGTTAAAAATCATCCACTAACATGTATTATGATATTTGTTCAATCATATTATAAATATAAGTACTATAATTTCGTCAGTGATTCTTGCAGTAATGTGCGGGGCGTTCTTCTAATTATTATTAAAATAGAAGAATTTGAACGGTACAAACGATGCGCTTTAACCGCCCTAGGTGGTCAAGAGTTACAGCAGAAAAGTTAGACCTCCCTATTTTCTAGGTTAGACACCATGGCGCCGTTCGCTGGTCTGGTAAAACCAGACCAGCCGGCTGGTTGCTCTCACAAAATATTATTCATGTTACCAGCCGCTACAGTATTTTCTCTCACAAAACCAGCCAGTTTCAGACCAGCGAACGGGGCCCATATCTTCGGATTATACTAGAAGATACTTTCGCGCGTTGCTGAATTACGAAGAATTTGAACTGAAATTAAGTAAAGATTATGTGATAGCTTGTATTAAGAGGTTGAAAATTAGTGGGATGACATGACTATTAGTGGGAGATAATCACTACTACACAAAACTTTTTACAAGGCGCTTCCAAAATGGCCTCCGAGGCGGTTGGGCCGATTGCCTGCCTCAATTATTCGAGGCAGGGCAACCGGCCCAGCAACTGTCTCGGTTAATGCTTAACCGAGGTGGACATTATAACAGAACCGTCTTGGTTAATGCATATTAATCGAGGCGAATATCCTAACATAACTGTTGACGGTAGTTAACAACCATTATAAACCATCAATATAACGTGCATAAGGGCATAAATATAATCACCAACGAAGGTCTAGTGGTTTAAACTAATAAATTTCACAAGTTTTGGTGAATCTGTATTTCTGCAGGATTTATCTAGAAAACCGTCAAGGTGGACCAAGATGTCAGATTTAATTGCGCTTATCTGCAGCGAAACGGACACTAGAAGATTCTAGAAGACCTGAGAGGATTCCACACCGAAGCAGAGGGCGAGATGCCGCCAGGTGGGGTCGGCCGGCCCCTAGGGCCCACCTGTCAGCCCTCCGTTATTATGTCGGTTCTCCACCGTCTCCTAGATTGCATCTACGTCGTCCTTTAAGTCAGTTTGATCCAAGGGCTCACGTTGGATGCTCCGGTATATATATACCAGCCCCTGCCACCACCCTGATATATATTGCATAAGTCATTTGAGAAGACAGAAACCCCAATCTTTCTCAGAGCTCCATCTTATTATAGGGTATAGCTAGTTAGGCTAGATCTAGAGGGAGGCAAGCAGGCTTCGCTTAGATTCCCGATCGAGCGTGGTTTGGTATAATCTTTGTACCCGCTCTCTTTTGTACCTCCATTATTTTTATATCCTAGTTACAATTGTTATGACAATATTAGTATTCATTTTATTCATGTTCTTCGTTATAATGTTCAACGTCTACTTTGATTATATGCTTAGTATAACTAATTTATCATTATATTTATGCATAAGTTCATATAGCGCTCACTCTAAAGTACACGAGGTGGGTGGCCTACATTATGTAAGCGTGGTGCTTATACGTTGTTTACCTGCGGATACACCCTACATTCTGGGTCATGTGGTAGATCGCGGATGTGACACTCCCGTTTAATCCTTTGTAGTCCACTCCCTGAATATAGATGCAAGTAGGGTCCGGTTACGAAGGAAGAACAAGCTCTGTTCTTAATCTTCCTTAGTAATATCCCTTATGTTACATATAAAGATAACCTTAGCCATGACTATTAGGTGTAATTGCACTAATCAATGTATGTTTTGACTTATAATTAAGAATGACTTAGTAATTATTCCTCTAATATTCTACCTGACCATGCTAATGCCATAGAAAGAAGTACTCTGAGTGATTTATCATTATTGATGATCAATACTTATCATATATATCTTATCCTATGACTTACCCCTGTTATGAGTAGAATATTGGTTATGGTTTACTTCTCCATCAATAGTATAAGTGATCAATACGTGTCCATGTTAGACCTTCCCTATGGTAAAAATATAAATAACGATACCTGAAATACTCCGGGGTGAAGTGCTACAATAGTATAATTATCTATGCGCTTGCAGATCCTTTTCATTCATATATTTATATATTTTTTTAGTCACATAAATTAATAAAGAATTACTTAGCATTATTCTAATAGTAATGCTATGTAATACCAACAATGACTACTAGGTGCAATTGCACTAATCAATGTATGAGGTGGGGGCAGATGGATACGAGCTCAACAGCGGTGGAGATGCGGAGGTAGGAAACCTAAGCGTTGGCGGCGACGACGTGGCTGCGGAGGTAAGGATGTAGGCATGCATATGAAACATGGAGGGCTAACCCTTTGGTTTATAGGGGTGATAGGTGCGAGGAAACCAACCCCCCGCCTAGACCTCCACGCCTGCCACGACCTGTCACCACGTCTCGTCGTGGGGCGTGCACACGCAACCTATGGCCGTCCCCTTGAAAAATACGCTGGATGTTTCACCACCCCGAACGGGCCACGACCCGTCACAGGTAAGTGGGAAACAGAGCTGAAGACGCTCTTACGGCCCATCTAGGCCTAGGAGTTTGAAGGTTGGCCCACCAACGGGTTTGACAACTGCTCCGGGCACCTTTAGAGTGAGGGGTGGAAAGGGATGGGCCCGCTAGCGGCTAGTACCTAGGCGCACTAGCTCCGCGGGCACCTCGGCCCACGTTCGAGTCTCAGTCGGATATCATCCATGGTTTTTCCTCGAAGAAAGGCAGAGAGACCTCGGGACTGGTCGAATGGACCCGAGAACTATATGGATTGACCGCTGAGATTCTAGAGTCGATCACCAGTTAACCCAAGCTAGACCCCCGCGAATGGGATGCTAGGGCCGCACTCGAACTAGCCTGTGAACAGTCCACCGAGCACCATGATTTGTCCTTACAGGAAAATCATGGCACGGCTCAGCCCCTCCATTTTTATCGGAAAAAACGCATAAGGGAAGATGATCACAAAGACAAGCTGACCCTCGATCGAATCCCTGTTATGGGCGGGGGCTCGAGGAAAGTTGGACTCGCAAGGAGACCGAACGCTCGGTCACAGTACGACAGACCCTCATAGGGGTTGGAATCAGGAAAGACCTTTTTTGACCCACCAAATCTCACGGATATACCCCTGAGGGGTCCAATTACGACGAAAGAGAATCACCGTCCCCAGGACATGCCGTGGGCGACAAAAGAAGGCCGAGGCCCTCAGAGTCCTCCCGTTCAGAAAAGCCTCTGAAGGAGTATTCTACTCCTCCACAGGATCGGGGGCTACTGTCGGGGACCAATACCAGGGTATCCAAAGAGGAGGAGCTAATGGTCATCAACATTGATTTATCCGATCAGTCAAGAGCGCGACTACCGCTCCAACCGACCCCTAGGTGCGCAGGCTCTGCCTCGCCCGACCCTTGGGGGTGGGCTCCGTCTCGCCTGACCCCAAGGCCTGTAAGGAAAATGGACCCCAGGACCATTTACTTTGGATTTTGGTGTTTGATGACCAACACAACCAAATTGGATTAATGAACATGCAAGTGATTGTTTTGTAGTTCAATAGGTGCAAGACGTGGCTTGGACGAAGGCGACATGATGATCCGATGATCAACACCATAAGCAAGACCTTAGAAGCACAAGGAAAGACCTAAGATATCAAGCAAAGTCCAAGCACGAAGATAGGAACCAAGCCGGACGCAAGATCGTGAAGAAACGAGCTCATAGAAGTGACCGGACACTGATAGCATAGTGACCGGACGCTCCGATCAAGAGGCTCGGCAGAAGCAGCGACCGGACACTGAACGAGCAAATCGACCGGACGCAGGACAGCAGAGTCTGGTCGAGTACAGAAAGGTTCTAGAGCGGCGAAACTGCGACCGGATGCGTCTTGTGGTAGGTGACCGGACGCTGGCAGCATCCGATCAGTTGTTCATGGCTTCAACGGTCGGGATGACCGGACGCGTCCGGTCAGGACGTGATCAGTGTTCGGTCAGTAGCAGAAAAGCGGGATTTTATCCCCAACGGCTACTTTCTCAGTGGGGCTTAGAAATAGACCCCCAACCGGCCATTTGATGAGAGTGGAGCTGAGGAAACATATCTAGGGTGTTGATACACCATTTTAGTGATCTCCACTTCCATAGTGCTTAGTGTTTCATTAGGTGATTAGCATAGGTGCTTTGCGAAGTGCTTAGATTGATTAGACCACCGCTTATGCGCTTGCTCTAGGTTTAGGCCTAGTGTTTAGTGAGGTTTGCATACCTCTTACCACTCAGTGCTTGTGTGCACCATTGTTGTACATCGGAGGGGCTTGTAGTCTTGCGAGATCACACCAACCGCGTTTGTGGTGTGGCCGCCACCGTGTACCAGAGGGAATAAGGCCCGCGGTGTTTTGGCCGGAAGCTTGATAGTGAAGACGGCGGGGAGCATCCGGGAGAGGCTTGCCAGAAGGCACGTCGGAGACCCACTTGCGCGTGGGGAAGACCCGAGGCTATCCACGGAGTTACTCGACCGGAAGCTTGACCCTTGTGAGGGATTCCTTGCGAGGGGCTCCAACGAGAACTAGGGGGAAGCTTGCGCGCTTCTCGATACCTCGGTAAAAATACCAAAGTCGTCGATGAGAGTTTGCATATCTCTACCTTACTCTTTAGCT